AACTTCTGTCTGGAAATATCTGCCCTCTAGAGGATCACTCTTTGAAGATAGCCTGACACACTTGTGATGAAGCAGTAGTGTCGATTTTACCAAGTACAATTCATTTAGGAGGAGTTTAATTTCTTAAAACTGCCTTGGGCGGAATAAATTTTCTTCGGGTGGTCGTGCTTATTGTGATTGAGTGCATGAACTGTGGTTTTTTGTTATAACATATGCAATGCGTCGTTTACAGAGGACTTCTTGCTGTTGTTTTATATGCTATTTGTTTCTGCTTTCTCACTTATGATTGATTGATGTATCCCTGATTATGACATAGAAATGGTTCACACTATGTATGAATGATTTTCAACACATTCCATCTGTTGTGATTGCTGCTTATGAAGTTACGATCTGCCTCAATGCACAGCACACTACAAGTAAACACGTATCATGTGTCACAATAAAATCATAATGAGATCTAAAAGACATTCGTTAGAGAAAAGCTTGGAGAATGTTTATAGAAGTAATTATGTTAAAAAATGGGCAGAAAGATAACTTTGCCAAGGACAGGGAACGAACCTGTGACCTTCAAATAATACATCCCATACTCCCCCAACTGAGCTACTATGGCGCCTATTCCCGTGTCTGCATTTTGGGGTATATATGAGCATATAAGGTGGGAATGTCAGTCAGTGCTTTTTTTTCTCAGTCATTTCTGCTTGTGCACTTTTGTTTCTTCACATTTACATTACAATTACTTCTATTCACATCCCATTTACTTTTCTTGGCATGATTGCTTATTAGATCTCTTTATAAATTCAGTTTGACGCACGATGTATATTTACTAAAGTTGCACTATGCTATGTATTGTTACATATCATAATGTGTTGAACAAAGAAAAGTGAGCCCTTGATGAACACATCTTTTCTGAATTGGCCCGAACAGTTGTTTATTTGATGTTAAAATAGTACACTGAAATGATGGTAGTCAATATGGAAGCCAAGACTTCCTCTGCGTACATGGGAAGGCTGGGCGCAGAGATACCCGAAAAAAGTATTCCGAAATACAGATATGCAAATACACGGTTCGGAAGTCTAAAGTACAGATACTGAGGTACATTTGTAATTGACGTAACAGGATATTTGAGATATACTTTTGCAAAAAAAACAAAAAAATATTCCGGAATACATATACAGCGATACAGATAGAAATACTTTTCTCAATGTCGGGTATTGTCATACTCTGTACAGACATTTGTTGTGTGCAACATAATGTTTAAAATTTGCAGCGCATTAAAACATGCAATGAACTTTATTCATTATTTTATCATAGTTTTTTGAGAGTTTTTTGAGACTCTGAGTGCCATCGAGGCAGTACCAAGAAGACTTACATGGTACATAATTGGAACTAACGACATATACACACATATCAGTAGGGTTGAGAGCTGGGCTAGTTGGTGAGACATCATTTAACAATATGGTGTAGTAGCGCAATTTTCACGGAGACGAAGAGGACAAGAACACACGACACTCGCTACACTCGCAACTAATTTTATTTCAGAAGCAGCACTTCATATATAACCCATAACCCTAGCGACACAGAAAAGAACTACGAACATTGAATCATTGCCAACAGAAGCTTTTGCGCAGACTCAAGTGATAGTACACGGCAGTTACGCTTACACTCCTCTCCTTTTTGTCATTTCAAAAGTTTTGTTTCAAACACGTGTGAATTCCCGCAAAATTTTTTGGTTTTTTGGTGTGATGTTACCCAGGGCTGTTTTAGTTATGTCATCTTAAAGTGTAAGCGTAACTGCCGTGTACTATCACTTGAGTCTGCGCAAAAGCTTCTGTTGGCAATGATTCAATGTTCGTAGTTCTTTTCTGTGTCGCTAGGGTTATGGGTTATATATGAAGTGCTGCTTCTGAAATAAAATTAGTTGCGAGTGTAGCGAGTGTCGTGTGTTCTTGTCCTCTTCGTCCCCGTGAAAATTGCACTACTACACCATATGGTTAAATGACACACATACAACTATGCAGTACGAGAGCAAAAATCAAGCGCACTTCACACCAAAATCAGGATACTTGGTGGCAACGGCATTAGCTATGCTAGAAGTAGCATCGTTGAGCGAAGTGCTGGAACCATAAATAAACGAATTGAGAAAAAGTATGTTTTCATTCACAGCGTTCACCATTTGTCTGTGACTAAAAAATACAAAAAATAATAGGGCTCCTGACTTTCTTGCTCCCGCTGTAATGACGGCGCTTAATTCAACGACCTTCTATTTAGTAGAGTAGCAGTTCAAGCCAGTTGTTTTCCCGTTTTGCTAAAGTGGTCTAGCATGAAGCAGAAGAAACATAAACAATAAAGACGAGCACTTACTTTCAGTTGAAAGTTTAGTGTTTTCTAAAACCATAGAAAAAGCAACAACAAAAAACAAAACAAGGAATAAAAAAACACAAAAAGACCTGCTTCCAATTGCCGTGTATTCACGCTAGTGTCTTTCAAGAATGCTTTGGCGAAAAACGTATCATTGATGGCACACGGCACCACACACCGAGTTCTTTGGGTGATTTGTGGCTTTCGCGACAAACTCCAGTTTTTCAAACGGGCACAGCAAAAAAGAAAAGAGGAAAAAAACAAGAGCAAAAACATTTCTGCTCGTTGAGTTCGCATGAGCGAACACATTTTACAAATGACGCTGCTCGTTGGCACCCGTTGTGCTGTATACAATGCTCCTCACAATGAAAATATCACTGCTGGAATTTAAAATGGCACTATAACATTGTTGCATAGCTCAAGCAGGGGATCATTCAAACACATTCCAGCTCTGTCTGAAGGTGCAAAATTGGATGTGGATAGCAAAGCGACTCGCTCGCTTTCAAGAAGGTAGGAGTCAGTTTCGCTTTCAGCAGAAAATGTAGAAATGGTGGGTGCATATCTTGGCGCAGACTGGCAAAATCACAGTAGAAAACTTTTTTCCCATTGTAAACAAGTCTCAGGTCATCCCCCCCCCCCCCCCCCAAAATAAAATTTTCGAGATACTCGTGTCCTGGATAGTATCGCGATACGGCCGATACATCGTAAAGGTATTTCACTACTGAGATACAAATACAATTTTTCGAAAGTACCTCGACCGAGCAATACACTACTGAAAAGTATCTCTGAAATTCTATCGTGATACTCCTGTATCGCAATGCTGCCCAGCCCTGATACATGGTGACTTTGGATAAATATTTAATTTTAGAGTGCAAAATAAATTATTACTTATAACACAAACAACAAAACAATATTTGGAATTTTGTATCTATGCTTACAGGAATGCACCACAACTTCTTTATGCCACTTCCAACATCTACTGTACAACATTCCTAGGCAGTAGGCCCTGCAGAATGCTTATAAACGCCTCCAGCTGTGCAGCAAGAAGACGACGTTCTTCAGCCCGTTCTCGCCTTTCTTTTTGTTTCTCTTCTGCCTGCATGCGCCTTTCTTCTTTTCTATCTTCTACCCGTGCTCTGCGGTCCTCTTTCCTTTCACGGGTCATCATAATTGCTAGCTGTTTCTCCCAAGCTAGCCGGTTTTCTTATAAAGCAAATTTGCTTTCCTACAAGGCAAGCCTGCGTAATTCTGCCAGCATTTATTTTTCTTTCATGATCTCAGCTGATGCTTCATACTTTTCAGCAAAAAATTCTGGTCATCCAGTTCTTGTTGTCTTTTTTGTGCATGATGGCAGTCATCAAAAATAAATCAGGTAATTTTTTCTAGACACTTCTCATAATTTCTTGCTCCACCTTGTTGCCCTTTGAAAAATATCTCCATTATGCCCTTTGCCTCACGATATGCATTTACTAATTCCAAGATAATTCCTAGCTTTACTATCACATGGTATGCTGTGGCAGCGTTGTGTTGAAATAATTAGAACTAATTATTCACTTGCAAATGCTGGTGACTCCCTGAGTATTCTAATGACACACTTTTGTAAAACACCACCTTCTTAAGTACATCGATGCAATTTCATGTCAGACAAAACATGCTGTCAAACCTGATCCACCGAACCTGCTTTCTCGTTCATTTTACATTGGTTATCGTTACTATTTGCTCCATTTCAAACACAAACCACATACCAGTACATGTGGAAATTTACCTAGATTATCAGCCATGACTGTTCATACTTCATAATTTGAATAAGAGAGAGCTGAGCTAGTCACCATGTATTCATGCTAACAAGAGAGTGTGTGTGAACACAGGTACAAGAGAAAAGACACCAGAAACGTAGTTAGATGTTTTCACTTCTCTTTTGTTTCTGTGTTTGCATGCTTTGTCCTAGCATTATTATATGTGCGCATTACACTCTCCACCACCTTTTTCTTGAGTGCATGTCACACGCATAGCCAGGAATATTTTTCGGGGGAAGCCTACTTATTGAAGGCTCTGAAGAACACCTTCTTTCATTATCTATTTTGGGTAAAACACCCCCTCCATCCAGATTTCGAGGGTAGGGTTACGGCACTTTATCAAGCTACAGGCCTAGTACATATCATAACTTATTGTGTTGTCTCACTTCAACATACTGCTGTGGGGTGATTTGGCTGTGTTGTGGCTACATTATTTTAAAGTCGACTTAAAACAATGCTGAGTGGATTTCACACAACACGGATTGAAGTAAGAACTTGCCACTTTGGGTGAGCCCTTGTAACTGGCATTTGTGCAGGAGTGATTTTCCTGCCAGTACGCCTATTCTCATTATGGGTCGCACACAAAATTCGTCACACCAAAATTGCAACAACTCATATTATACCGAAAATAAAAATATCTAGAACACCTGGGGAAACTTGGTGGGCTAGGGAATGTGCCGCTTCGGCACTCCTACAACCTTCTGTTGCGGAGGCAGCCGCTGCAGTCTCGGTATCCGCATCCCTTGGCCATTCGGCACTCCTACGACCCGCTGTTGCAGGAGTCGCAGCTATATCTGCTGAGCGAGCATGCGTAACCGTAACCGACTGGGGTTCCGTAGAAGCCAGTCAATCTATGCCTAACGCACTTTCACTTATGACGTCGTCCCATTCACGTTCGTCGTCCTCAGGAGTCACCGTGCGAGGCAGCAGCTTCTCCGGCGTAGCATAGACAATGGGGCCTGTAAACAGAGCACTCATGAGCACATTTTATTGTGGTGTGCTTTCATCATTTATGGTATGTCACCACGCTTGAAAATGCAATAAAACGTGTTTGGAATTTCAATGTTTCAAGCTCCCTGTCCATTCAAAAACATATAGAAAAATGAATTATACGGTTATCTTGAGCGGAAGTTGTGGTCACTGTTTCCACGCTGAGGACGCATCTCAAACCACGACTGTAGGCCCCTGGTTTCACAACACATACCATCTCATCATAAATAGTATTACGTATTCTGAATATGAAGAATAAGTAGTATAAGTATCAGTTAAAGCTTTTGTAAATTGACGTTTGTATTTCTGAACTACTGAGCTGTGGCACATTAAGTCACGCGTTCTCACTCGGCTGCCCAATTTTTTGTATGATACTTCGATCTATTGTACTCGGGAGCTGGAGACAGGGGCACTGTGCACTTCAACTTTTTCTTAGAGGTGTTGACCTAAATTAAGAAAAACATCGACGCCACTTACAGCAACCAAAAAAAAGCAGCAATCGCGAAGCGCACACTTACTAGTAACGCCAATTTCTTCCTCAGTGGTGTCACACTCGGCGTTGAAGGCTGTGCTGCGCTCCGCGTATCTATTTCCGTGCACATCTCTGGCAGCCAATGCCACTTTTCGCACTTGCACGCTTGGATCAGCATGGCAGGCCTTCCTCGACTTCCTCGCTGTGCACACTTTGTACGACGTGCCTTCAATGAGGCTAGAGATGTCTTGGAGCAGTTGGTTACGCTCCGTGTATTCTTCTTCTGTACCGGACCTACGAACATCAATTAATAGCAAGGTCGCACAAAGACTAACGCACCCTACTTTATACCGTGCTCTGAAACAACCATCCAGACTTGTTTTTTTTGTTTCGCTGATCATTCTGCGAGTACCGTGCCAACAATAGGTTCAGGCGCTCGCGCACACAGCGAGCTGTAAAAGGTATTTTTGAGGATTTCTTCGAGGCGCCAAGATATCTCTTGTCACTGCTCCAGATGCCTAAATGGATCGCTTGTTTGTATTTCCGCTAGCAGTGCGATATCGTCCCTCAAAGTAAAATAAACTCGATTCGGGCCGGCTTTGCTGCGGTCTGCATTCGACGCCATTGCTGCCGTTTTGCTACCTGGTTCCTGTTTCAATCGAGATATAGCAAGAGCTCCACGCCACGTACGCTCCGCCTCGTCACGTTTACGCACGCCACAATTTTTTCGGGGGGGTATACGCACGCATCGATGGAATAGATACGTTACGTACTGCGCATGCGCACTTCTCTCCCGCTGCAGTGCCGCGTATCTAAGCTCGTTACGTACGCCCAACTAAAAGTGTCTACTATCACGCGCATCATACGGTAGGTGTGCGGTTTTCTGCAGATGCTTTGAGGTGACATGAGCCGCATCGTGATAAACCTTTTTCGCCGATAACGAACTGCGCACGTGCCGAACTTCGCGTTGGTGTAGATAGGCTTCGCGTATAGGACCATCCTTACGGCACGCAGTTCCGTGTTCAAAATAAGGGTGCTCGTTATTTCAGACCAGCGCCCCGTTGCAGTGGTCTAGTGGCTAAAGTACTCGGCTGCTGACCCGCAGGTCGTAGGATGGAATCCCGCCTTCAGCGGCTGCATTTCCGATGGAGGCGTAAACGTTGTAGGCCCACGTGCTCAGATTTGGGTGCCGTTAAAGAACCCCAGGTGTTGAAAATTTCTGGAGCCCTCCACTACGGCGTCTCTCATATTCATATGGTGGTTTTGGGACGCTAAACCCTCCCATCAATCTATTGCAAACCTGCGGGTATCCTAAATAGGTGGTACCAGATGATGACCGGAGTAAACGCTTCCTCGTAAAGAAGGTGTGGGAATTATCTGTAGAGTCTGCAAGAAGGGGTAATATTTATGTCTGCTGGTAAAGTGAAGCCAGGGCACAAATGAAGTCAAAGGCTGCAAAACTCGTCCGATTCAACCAAATACAATGAGGCCCAAGATAGTACGGAGTGCTCTCAAAGCACAACATTAAAAGGGGGCGCAATTATGGCGTTCTGTCGTATGCTGCCAATGCTCTTGATAGCGTTTATTTTCAGTGTGCACGGGATTGCTATAGAACCGAGTACTTAGATGGCGTGTCACGTTCAAGAACCCCAGGCAGTAAAATTTTCCAGAGCCCCCCTCCTCGCTATGGCGTCCCTCATAGTCACATAGAACGGTCGCGGGACGTAAACCTCGTCAACCGATATATATGCATTGTGGCAATCGTTTCAGCCTAGCGAAAAGTCCTATTCTTTTCAATTCAAATGATTGCTCTACCAGATATTTTATTATTGTACAAATAACAGACACATAATTGAAAGCAAAAACTAGGATTATATTCGGTCAACGGTGGTGTGTTAAGGGAACCAAACTGCGGAAAAAGACATGATGTTACGAATACAAGGTTCAAAGTAAACGTTTATAGCAAACGGAACAACACGAAGCTTTAAAATGCAAACGAAACATGCGTAACAATGGCGCATTCAACCTGTGTTATCACTGCCTCCGAGCTCAAGAAAAGCCTAGTTGATCTGCAGGAGGCCTTTGTCTTACATCCGTCATTTTCCTAACGACTCTTCCGATGGCACTTCTAACGGATCGCGCTTGCCGAAGCCACTCTAACTTGGCGTCGCTGTTTTTTTTTCCTGGACCCCTGCGACGACAACAACGTGATGTCGATCTCCCTTGCTTCCCGCACGTTTTTTCATCCAGCAACTGAAAGAGACTATTTCAACGAAAGCATTGTCACCATCGGGCGCATCGGATGTGTCTATAGCATATTGTCACCCCAGGTACACGCGGTAGCGAGTGGGTAGCTTTTTCAGTATAATAACCACGTAAACAATGAGTGCTACGATGCTCAAGAAATACACTATGATGATATACCAGTGGAAACCGTGTGAACGAAGTGCCAATATTGTGAGCACATAAAAAACACACACGGCGATCGGTATCACAATAAAAAAGCCCAGCAGCTCGATAAGCAGTGATCGCCACAGCCACCTCTTGTTACGCCAAGCCCAACAAAAAAACCGCAGTGCGCTTATAGGTTGGGCAGCCATCTGAAAACGCTCACCGCAGAGTTCGCAGTAGTCCACGTCCCGCTCATTAAGCCAACGCTCGAGGCACGACACATGTACGAAGCCTATCGTGCCAGAGCAGCTGCAGGGAGACACAAGCTGAGCCTTTTGGTCGCCTTCCTGACAGATCCGGCACGTGGTTCCGCTGCTGCCAGCCCCATTGTGGTAGCCATTGGCCATATCAACAGGGACGTTGTGCCACATGGTTCTTCCCCCGAGCTTTTACCTCTTCAGGACTTCACAGCGACGGTGTTTAATTGTCCAGGAACCATACGGTGGCAGCGTGTTTGTCCTCTAGGCTTGAGTTGAATGCTGGCTGGTTGCCGATTGCACTTGACGTTGAAGACTCAATGTCAGGCTGAAATGTAGGCGAACATTTTCGGCAACTGGATGCCGCGAAAAAGAAGGAAACGTGGAAGTGAAGGTTCCTTTGGTGGTTATAGAAATACGACTGCACTCGGTATCTGTATTTCGGACATTGCCGTAACGAAAACACAAGTCTTACTCATCACGCCTACCCGAGTGCACGAGCCTTAACTGCAGGGCACACTGGAATTATGGCACTGGTCAAATGACATAATTTGGTGTTTCTGCACGTAAACGTAGGACAGTGCGCAAAGCGTCCCCATCTGGTTTTTTTACATGTGTCTTGTTTCGTTCGGAGCTAGGCAACCAGTGCAGCGCCTCGGGCTCTTAAATACGAGGCTGCGCAAGCGTGCGCGCTAGCATATTTCCATAGCCCTGTATTCTAAAGATACGTGGCCGATGCTCTATCTAACCACGTCTGCACACTCCAGCAGTTTTTTTATCGATATCATTCCCTTATGATGGTAGAAGTCAAGTGGCTCAGGAAGGTAAGAGTCCTTCGCCGAAGACTTCATTGCCTTATCAGTGCGAAATTTGAATGTTCTGTCACGGGCTTTTGTATCAGTTCGTAAACACAAAACTGTGGAACAGGAACATACAAGTGGCAATTCAATGCTTTGTAGTCATTGGCACATTCACGCATGATGATACGACGGCTGCCTAGCGGATGACCAGAGAAAACGAGAAAGATGGTATCGCAGTGATAAAATGTGGATGCCCCCAGCACCTATTGATGATTTGATTGATATTTGGGGTTTGACGTCCCGAAACGACCATGGATGGATGGATGGATGGATGGATGTGGCTGTACCCTTTAGATCGGGCGGCGGCTAACGCCACCTAGCCATAATACTTAGTGAACTAACCATTACATTTATCTTTTTTTTCCTTTAAATAATGAAGTTGAGGATTCGTACTTCGCAGTGAAGGGTTTAATTTTCACTCGTGCCTTGACTTTAGCCACCAATCAGATAACCTCCTTCTAGTTAAGTCTACCCGCTTAAAGTCTATTTTGCCCTCGCTGTCCCTAAATCCCAGTGCTTTGAAAAACTCTGCGCCATCATCCTGAACTATAGGGTGAAGCCCTTTACAGAACATTATCAAGTGTTCGGCAGTTTCTTCTTCCTCTCCACACGCACTGCATACTGTGTCGACCCCTTCGTATTTGGCCCGATATGTCTTGGTTCGCAGTACTCCCGTCCTGGCCTCAAACAGTAGAGGACTACCCCGAGTATTATCATAGATCCTTTCCTTGGCAATTTCCTGCTTAAAAGTTTGATAGATCTCTAGTGCGGACTTCTTAATCATGCCAATTCTGCACATGTCAGTCTCCGTTTCCTTCACTTTCTTCTTAACCGATATTTCTTTTTGGTTTGGCCACCTGTGGTTTTCTAAGTATTTACCAGTCAATTGCCTGGTTCGCTTCCTCCATTTCGTATCGAGGTTATTCATGTACAAGTAGCTGAAAACCTTCCTAGCCCAACGCTCCTTCCCCATTTCTCTCAATTGCTTCTCAAATTTTATCTTGCTGCTAGCTTCCCTGCCCTCAAATGATGTCCATCCCATATCACCTTGTACTCTCTGATTTGGTGTATTCCCGTGAGCTCCTAAAGGAAGCCTATCTATTCCACGTTGCTTGATTTCTAATCTTGCTTGAGCTTCTGGCCTCATGCACAAGATCACATTGCCGAACGTCAGCCCAGGAACCATGACCCCTTTCCATATTCCTCTCACAACACCATACCTACTGTAATTCCACAGTGCCTATTTTTCTAATTTTGCCTCTAATTCTTGTAGGTACATCATGAATAATAAGGGTGACAGGGGGCACCCCTGCCTAAGCCCCTGTTTTACCTCTGCAGGCTTTGATACCTGTTTTTCCCCACTTTATAACTACCTTGTTACCTTTATAGACACCCTTTAAAAGATTTGTGACTACATGTTCCACGCCTAGTGTGTCCAGTATTCCCCACAATTCCTCTTGAACCACGCTATCGTACGCTCCCTTGATATCCAAAAATGCTAGCCACAGGGTCCTGTGTTCTTTTTGTGCTATTTCGATGCACTGCGTCAGTGAGAATAGATTGTCTTCTAACCTCCTGTGTTTCCGAAACCCATTCTGCAGTTCCCCCAGCACCCCCTCATCCTCTATCCACGCCTGCAGTCTTTCCTTTATAATCTGCATCGCCAGCCTGTAGACCACTGATGTCATGGTTATAGGACGGTAGTTGTTTATGTCAGCTTTGTCCCCCTTTCCTTTATAGATCATGCTCATCCTGCTAAGTTTCCATCCATCGGGAACTCCACCATCGATTATTATTGTACTCACTGCCTCTCTCAAAGCCTGCTTAGACTTCGGACCTAATGTTTTTATCAGCCTAATGGGAATGCCATCTCGGCCTGTTGACGTAATATAGGAAACCCTTTTCTCAGCCCTTTCCCACTCTTGTTGTGAAAATGGAGCCATTGCACCACTTGATTCGTCTTTGTCTATTGTGGTGCCTAAAGCACTTCTTTGTTGAAATTTTTCTGTCACTCTTGTTCTTATATATTCAATAGCTTCGTCCCCTTCTAGCCTAGCACCTTGGGCTGTAGTTATAAAGTTCTGCTCTAGGCTCGTCTCATTCCTTAGGGAGTTTAGATGGTTCAGAATTTCGCAGCTGCCTTTCTATCTTTTTTATGTACTTCTGCCAGCCACTGAGCTCCCTTCCTTCTAATCTTTTCATTGATCAGAAGGGATGCATCCCTTCTACAGCTTAGAAAGGTTGCCCCATTTTCTTTCCACATCATCTGTCGGTTCACCCCGCTGCTTAGCATGTCTGTGTTCCCTAGAGGCTTCCTGACGTTTTGCTATGGCTCTCTTAACTTCCTCATCCCACCAACTTTTGGGTTTGTGTCTTCTTTTCCGGGGTGACTTGTCACGCGTCTTAGCAAGCTCTATCTCAAAGAGTCTAATTAGGTTCGTGTATGTCCACACTGTCTTATTATCCTCCGTGATTACTTTCTCAATTTGTTTAGTGGCTATTTCAATTTGCCTTTCTGGATAAAAATTTTCCTGTAGTTGCTCATCTTGTCTCCTTCCCACTTTCACTGCTCTTCCAAAAATTAGCTTGATACGTTTGTGATCGCTACCCAGACTTCTGGAGCCACCTTCATCTATGTGCATTTCCCTGAGCTTATCATACATCCTATGTGACATCAGTGCATAATCTATCGTCGACTGAAGCCTTCCTACCTCCCATGTTATTTGCCCTTCACACTTCTCGGTACTGTTGCAAATGATCAAATCAAGCCTTTCACACATATCCATGATCATTTTGCCTGTCGGGTCGGTATACCCATCTATATCTTCTATGTGCGCATTCATGTCTCCTTGTATAATTATCTCGCACTCTCTTCCTAACTCCTGAATGTCCTTTGATATACACTCTACCATTGCCTGGTTTTCCTCTCTGGCCTTTGCTCCCGTCCACAAGTACACGAAACCAAGGAGTGTCATTTGACCTGCCACTTTCCCTTTTAGCCATAAATGTTCCTTGCACTCCTGCTTGACCCTTTGCCAGTCTGTACTTTTATGAATGAATGCCCCAATACCACCCCCCTTTCTGCTGCCTTCTGTTCTATTACAATACTCCCACGCGTAGTCCGGATTGTTCGGAGGTTGTTCCATGTCCCTGAGATGTGTTTCTACAAAACCGTATACCATCGGCCTCTCTTCCCTTAGCTGTTCTTCTATCTCTTCCCACTTCAGCCTGTTCCTACCACCCTGCATGTTAATATACACTATGTCTAAGTTGGCTCGGCGCTCGTGGCTACGTCTATTTATGCCCCGGACTCTACGTATCTTAGATATTGGTGCCACTTTGGAATCGTATCTGTCCATACCACCTGTCGAAGAGTCTCCCTGGTTGTTTTCCTCGTTACTAGCTATCCTGCACCCCGAAGGGCTCGCTTGCCCCCCAAAAAAGCTACTGCGCGTCCTGCAAGTCGCCAACCCACCTCATGACCTAGCCGCCCATCGAAGTGAATTCTGTCTCGTTGAAAACCCCCCACCTATGCACCTCTCTGTTTATTTCCACCACCTCAAAGCCTTTCTCTCGACTCATCCGCCATATCTCATGGTTTGCGTTGACCACCGCTCTTTGCAGGTTGCTATCACGCACCGGTACCTCCGGTATCGTGCATATAACTACCTGCACCTTAGGAGAAGTGGCGCGCATGTCATCGACGCCTTTCGCCACTGTGGCTGCTAGTCCTGCTGCATCTTCATTTAGGACATCGTTTAAACCGCCTGAAATTATCACGAGGTTGCGTCTATCAGCTGTCGTTTTGAGCTTTGCGCTCGCTTGCTTCATGACTGCTTCCAGCTTGCGTCCTGGGAACGCCCCTACTGCAACCCTCTTGTCACCTCTTACCCTCTCTTTGATGGCTTCTGTGCATCGATTTAAATTTGAGTCCCCGGCGATTATCACATGCTGTGACTTTTCTGCTGGAGCGTTCTGCACCTGGGGGCTACTTGCACCTGTGACGCCGGCTCTTTTGTTCCCTTCCTGCCCCACCACTACCTCGCTGAAGCTGGGCCTTGCCACAGTTGAACCGGCTAAACCTGTTTTTTCCAAGCTTGCTTGCTTTTCATTCTCCACCGTTCTGGTTGCCGGTTCCCCACTGTTCTCTCGATAGGTCGCTTCTTTGTTCAGCTTCGCTAGCACTTCCTCGGCGGACTTCAGTCTTTCTCCCACTGCCCTCGTTTTTTCTTGCTCTGTCGCCAACGCAGTCTCGAGTTTGGCGATTCTCATCAGCAGTTCACTCTGGGC